AATAATAATAATAATGATAATAATACTAATAATAATACTAATAATAATACTAATGTAATAATTCCCGGGAAACATCTATTATATAATCATCTATCATCATGTACATAATTCTGGTACAAACTGTCGCCGCTGCAAGCAATTCACTTTTGTCCAAATTTTGAGAATTTTATTTAGATTTTATAACCCCCCACCCCCCCCCCCCCAAAAAAAAAGACAACAAAAGACGAAAAAAAAGCTCTATCATAAAAGATGCACCACTTTTCAACATCACCAAAAGCCAGTTTTTATACTATAAAGTCTTACAATTTTCTTATTGCTTTTCGTGATTCCTCCTGAAAAGAGCAACACTACAAAAACTTTGAACTTTGACCCTGTGTGTCAGGGCCAACTCCAGGACAAATAAGACTGAGAGAGGTAGCCTACTTGGCGCTCATATGACCTGATGCAGTTGCGAGCGCCGTAAATCCTCTACTTAAACTAAACTGAGAGAGGTACTTGGCGCTCATATGACCTTATTATATAGTTGCGAGCGCCGTAAAACCTCTACTAAAACTAAACTGAGAGAGGTAGGCTACTTGGCGCTCATATGACCTGATGCAGTTGCGAGCGCCGTAAAACCTCTACTTAAACTAAACTGAGAGAGGTACTTGGCCCTCATATGACCTTCTGCAGTTGCGAGCGCCGTAAAACCTTTACTAAAACTAAACAGAAAGAGGTACATTGTCCTCCTAATAGAGAGCCGGAGATACCTTACTCGATCAAGACTTAAAACTGGTGTAAAAAGTACCCACACGGACTTACGTGGATTGCTCGCGACACCGACGATATCCTATCCTCACTCCATGACAAGGCACATGGGTAAAACAAACAACAGGGAAGTTAAGCAAGGGTCAAGGCACTTCAAGATTCTAAGGTGGTAATTACTTCACCTACAAAAATGAAGACTCAAAAATCAATAATAATTGTCAAAAAAACTCAATCAAACAAAAAAGCCCTCATCAGTTTCTTTGCTTGCTTGCTTGTTTGTTTGTTTGTTTGTTTGCTTATTATTAATTTTCTTTTGTCTGTCTGACTGTCTGTTTGTTTGTTGTTTGCTTATTTGTTTGTTTGTTTGGGTACTTGTTATGTCGGAAATACAAACGACCCTGGTAACTAGGGTTCAAGCCCCAATCAAATTATTGATCCATGGGTCATTTTCGACAATAACAACAACAACAACAACAATAGCAACAACAACAACAGCAACAACGATAATAAAAAAACAAAAAACAACAACAATAACAACAACAAAATGGACAATATCATCAGTAATCACGGTACATAATATGCAATCTTCCTAACAGACCGATGAATGAAGACTTACACAAATCAAAATGAGATCCTTGACTCCCCTCTATTAATAGCACACATGTATGTGTATATATTACATTGTAAATGCAACAGCCTTTTTTTTATATTGTAGGCGTAAAGAAAAATATCACAAAACACAGCAATGTTTAAGAGGCACGCGTGATCTATAGCATAACAATAATAAATTATTCATATCGGCCAGCTATTCAGATGTTCGAAACCCCCCAATTTTTTAATTTTTTTCCAGACTACAGTTTCTTAATAATCTGCGTTATATGTTGCAAATGCTCGAGAAATATTTAGACGAAATTCGAATTCAAAATGTCGATTAAATTAAATAAGCACGAAAAATGAGATAAATGGTACAATCTTTAACAGAAACATGTAACGTTTAAAAAAAAATTATTTTGTTTGTTTTTGTTTTATTTTTCCTTTCCGGAAGAAAAATTGCTCTCTGGGGCTTGGTTCAGCTGAACAGCTAGCCGAAGATAGTTCAATAGTACCAAATCGAGGTACTGACTGACTACACGTTCATGATATATATATTATAATAATAATACGGGTAACATTACTGGCATGGTCCAAAGGATAACAAGCAGCTGTCAGCAAACGCTTCATAATGGAAGACTACCAACTCCATTCCAAAGGAGAAACAACTCAAACTGAGACTGAGACTTAGACTGAGACTTAGAAGACTGAGACTTAGAAGACTGAGACTTAGACTGAGACTCAACAAAGGAGAAACAACTCAAACTGAGACTGAGACTTAGAAGACTGAGACTCAACAAAGGAGAAACAACTCAAACTGAGACTGAGACTTAGACTGAGACTTAGAAGACTGAGACTCAACAAAGGAGAAACAACTCAAACTGAGACTGAGACTTAGAAGACTGAGACTCAACAAAGGAGAAACAACTCAAACTGAGACTGAGACTTAGAAGACTGAGACTCAACAAAGGAGAAACAACTCAAACTGAGACTGAGACTTAGAAGACTGAGACTCAACAAAGGAGAAACAACTCAAACTGAGACTGAGACTTAGAAGACTGAGACTCAACAAAGGAGAACCAACTCAAACTGAGACTGAGACTTAGAAGACTGAGACTCAACAAAGGAGAAACAACTCAAACTGAGACTGAGACTTAAAAGACTGAGACTCAACAAAGGAGAAACAACTCAAACTGAGACTGAGACTTAGAAGACTGAGACTCAACAAAGGAGAAACAACTCAAACTGAGACTGATACTTAGAAGACTGAGACTCAACAAAGGAGAAACAACTCAAACTGAGACTGAGACTTAGAAGACTGAGAACTCAACAAAGGAGAAACAACTCAAACTGAGACTGAGACTTAGAAGACTGAGACTCAACAAAGGAGAAACAACTCAAACTGAGACTGAGACTTAGAAGACTGAGACTCAACAAAGGAGAAACAACTCAAACTGAGACTGAGACTTAGAAGACTGAGACTCAACAAAGGAGAAACAACTCAAACTGAGACTGAGACTTAGAAGACTGAGACTCAACAAAGGAGAAACAACTCAAACTGAGACTGAGACTTAGAAGACTGAGACTCAACAAAGGAGAAACAACTCAAACTGAGACTGAGACTTAGAAGACTGAGACTCAACAAAGGAGAAACAACTCAAACTGAGACTGAGACTGAGACTTAGAAGACTGAGACTCAACAAAGGAGAAACAACTCAAACTGAGACTGAGACTTAGAAGACTGAGACTCAACAAAGGAGAAAGGGAGAGAGAGAATACTCTTCCACTACGAAGCCTTTGCTTGTGCCAGCTGCTGCCTCACTCAAAGTACGGCGTGAGGAATGGCGGACCTCCCTGGACCCTGGACCACAGAGTTGTTGAAGATACTTGACGGAGGAAGCTAACCGAGTTCTTCTCGTCTTTCCCTGCATGTTTTGTACAGCAATCTGGGGAGAAGTGGAATAAACAACAAGGTGCATGACAGAAGTTTTTACAAAATGCCACCCCCCAAAAAACAAACAAACAAACAAAAACAAACAACAACAAAAAACAACCCCAAACAAAACAACCATATATAATTTATATATATGTATATTATATATAAATATAATATATTATATATATAATAAATATTATGTGTGTTTGTGTGTGTGTGTGTGTGTGTGTGTGTGTGTGTGTGTGTGTGTGTGTGTGTGTGTGTGCATGTGTGTGTGTGAATGACAACGTGGTGGAATCAGGCACTCATCACTATTTGGGCAGGTGGATTATTGATATATTAAGCTTGTTCATTTTGTCTTGCTTTCGGTGAAATCAATACAAACGGAATCTATTTTGAATTAATGTCAAAATATAATTTGCTATTGAATTAATTGAATGAGGTGAGGGTCGCTTATTTTCAGAGGTAAAATTAGAGAGAAAATGGCCACAAAAGTATAGTGGCTTCCAAAGCTGAAAAGTCCTTTGGAACTGCAAATTTACACATTATTCGATTTTGTAGATGGTTGGCTCGTACTCTGGTGTGGTTTGCTCCTTCTTTCTTATCCAACATCTATCATCCTAATCTCCCCTCCTTTTTGTTTTTGTTTGTTACTCTCTTGTAACACCTCTAATCTTCGGCACCTATATGATCTGTTGTGTTGCAAGTGCCGTAAAAACTCTTACCAAAAACTACAATTTTTTATTTTTCTTCTCTTGACCTGATCCAGGGCTCTCGTGGTATAGAGGTTACGGTGTTCGCCTCTCATTCAATAGGTCGCAGGTTCGAAACCTGACAGCGACGGAAAGTTTTCTTCTCTGAAAATGTTCTTCTTTCACCTCCTTCCCTGCTCTCTAAACATGTTCTGTCGTCTGCTTTCGTCTCCACTTTCTGCCCCCTCACCCCCTTCCCTCCCCCCCCCCTCTGCGCTCCTGCCTTTTTCTGCAGCCTTTCTACTGCTACTCCTTGGCTTCTTCAAAATTAATTCCTATCAAACTACACTGTTTAATGTCTGTCGCGCACTCATACGACCTTTTACAGTTAAGAGCGCTGTAAAACACAGAAAACAAAGCAAACAAACAACAACCCCCTCCCCTCCACCCCAGTAAAAACATCATCAACAACAACAACAACAACAACAACAACAACAGCAACAACAACATTCACCATCATTGCCTTTCTCACCCTGCACTAGGGTATAGGCTACGGACAAACACTTTTCACTTTTCTCTATCCTGGGCTAGTCTCTTGATGTTATTCCATATCTTCCTACTTTTGTATACTTCAATTTCTTTCATTCTTCTCCAGGTTTAAGGCTGTTAATAACAAGGAGAAGATGGAGATGGATTGGACATGTTCTGAGAAGAGAACCAGACTCTATTGTGAAGACTGCCCTCCACTGCACCCCCGAAGGACGTGGCAAGACGGGCAGACCCAAAGTGACCTGGAGACGCACAGTAGAGTCTGAAATGAAGTCCAGGAACCATTCATGGGAGATGTTGACCAAGATGGCCCAAAACAGACAGAGCTGGAAATCCTTTGTTGCTGCCCTAAACGCTAGATGGCGTGACGGGGAGTAAGTAAGTAAGTGAGTTCTCCAGGTTCAACAACAACATCAACAATAACAACAACAACAACAACTATAACAACAGCAACAGCAACAGCAACAGCAACAACAACAACAACATTACCTGATCCCAAAGACGAGCAAGAAAAGGCCACAGAGTATGCCGAAGACTGAGTCCATGTACCAGAGGTGTGTGTCGTTCACGTACAGCTCCAGGCCGGCCACACCGGCAAAACACGCTGCCGCACCAACGAGTGTGATAATACCTGGGGATGGGATTGTTTGGGGTGGGGGATGTGGGGTTGGGGGGGGGAGGGGGAGGGGAGAATATTGTTAGCACCTTGTTGTTGTTGTTGGTGTTGTTGTTGATATTGTTGTTGTTGTTCTTATTGTTGTTGTTGTATTTGTTGTTCTTATGTATTATGGTGTTGTTCTTGTTGTTGCTTTTGTTGTTCTTCTTGTTGTTGTTGTTGTCGTTCTCTTCTCCTTCTTCCTTTTGTTGTTGTTCTTCTTCTTGCTTTTATTCCTGTTTTACTTGTTGTTGCTGTTGTTGTTGTTCTTCACTATTAGCGTTCATATGACCGTATGCAGTTGAGAGCGCCGTAAAACCTTACATGAAACTAAACTAAAACTAAGAACTCACTGTCAGTTGCCAGAGCTTGACTCTTAAGGCGATACCCCACGTAGATTTTGGCGGCTGCGATGAGGACAGAGACAACTCCGCATGTCAGGGCAAAACTTTCATACAGAGTTACCTCCTGTGGGAGAAAGGACGAATACAGTCTTGTGTTAGACTCTAACAGAAGCACAACGACACAACGACGGTCACACTGTGCAATGAAGAAGCAAGACACTACAATTCCGCTTTAAAAAACCAAAACCAAAACCAAACAGGGCGAAGCACAGTGGCGACCAGCAATGGCATGTTTGTGAAATTGTTCAGTATGGTGTTACATTGTGTATTTATGTAGGTATGTATGTATTTATTATGTATGTATATTTGCCATCGTGAATCAAATTTCCCCACGGTAATCAATAAAATGTAAAATGTGATTTGCTTGGTAATCTGTCCTTTAACAAACCGACAGAAACAACTGTAGCGCCCTCCAACCACCTGCTTAATACATGTATAGCCAAATCTTCTCTAGTGACCACCTGCCCTGGATACAGTCAAACTCGGATTTAACAGGACAGACGGGACCGGAAGTTTTCCCCTGCTATAAGCGAGTCCTGTTATAACTGTTATCAAGGTAATCTCCAAGTACTATTGCATCTTCAGGTTACTTATATATTATATTCGATTATCGCAGATCCTTTTCCAGTGGGTTGTATTGCTGACACTGAGACGGAATCGATCAGTGACCCCAACATTTTTTTTTTGGGGGGGGGGGTATGTGTTTGAAAGTTTGTGTTTAGGCAAGCAATCGTACAAACAGGCGAAATGGCTTGGTAGAGACAAATCTAACTAATTTATTTGACCGATCGAAAGCAAATTCAAGCGCTACAAGATCACTGTTATATCAGAGTCTTCGCAAATTGAACCCTGTTATAGCCAGACTCATACACTTATCTGATAGAGAACAAAAAACCCCGGAGATTTGATTTATCCCAGTTACATTGAAGAATCTATAATAACGGAGGCTGTTATAAATGGACTGCACTGTAATCCCCTGTAAAAACGATCATTTCCCAATTCCTCCTTTTCTAAAAAAAAGTATTATGGAACATCCCTGGACGTCAACGATATTTATCTAAGATAACCATTTTACTCCTTGGCAATACATGGCCGTCTTGGATAATTTTAATTATAAATGATAATAATAATTACTTATACTTTTATAGAGTTTGATTTTAATGCGCCATTACACACCAATATTCATCATTTCAAAGTCATGCCATACACCACTCAGTTCCAAAAATGTATCTGTAAACTTTGGCTAGACAAAATACTGAGTCAACAGCTAGCCACGACAACAGAGTAGATGGAACAAATAATAATACAAACACAATATAAAAGGAGCAAAGGCAGACCAAAGAAGAGTTGGGAGGACAACATCAAAAAATGGACAGGCCTGGACCTTAAAGACACGCTCAGAAAAGCTGAAGACCGGAAGGAGTGGAGGAAGTTGATGGCTAAATCTTTAAAGGCGCCCCAACGGACATCCACTCTCCGGGATAGGTGAAGGTGAAGAAAATAGACTTTAGCGTGGTCTATGACATGTATAAAAGAAACAGTCAAAGAAAAGATACAATAATTAAAAAAACATACAGAATGAGCAGCCTGGAGAACCTACCTTACTCTCATGTTTCCGACCTACAATAGCTACGACGCCTTTCGTGATCAGAGATGAGGCTGATACTAAAAATAGACCACCGATGACCATGCAAGCTCTGGCGAAGAAAAAAGTATGGAATTGAAAAAAACATTAATATGTTGAAAAAACAACAACAACGATTAATATGGTGAATAAACGTTAATATATTAAACCAACATTAACATATTGAATAAATATTAACATTAAGCTTATGATGAGATGTGAAAGAGAGCGGGGAGGTTTTGGACACTTTTTTACTTTTGGCTCTACTGCTCACTTCAGGAACAATATTAATTAAGCCTAAGAAAAATATTTCACCACTATTGTTA